CATGTAGATATACTGGATTGCGGGCACACAGAAATCGATGTAATTCTGAAAACCTGTTCGTATATCATTGAAACGTTGAATAATGGTCTTGTAATACGTCAAAGATGGTTTGTATGAATGAGATTTGTTTTTAATAATGCTTTTACGAGTTATTTACATCATATTTTATACGTTAAAGGGGTGAGTCCTTTTGTCCACTAACTAGAAGTACAGAATACAACAAGGGTCGCAAATGTGACGTACGCTTCTTGTCAGCATCAGGAGTAGATATAGCAGAATGGAACACACAAGGCAATTGGTGACCGTTGTCGCTCAAGTCGAATTAATCAGTCAATATTAAACGGTTTGTTAAATCGCAACCTGAATGATGAACAGGCGAAAAAAATCAATGTCCCTTTTTTGCAAGTTGCCGGCACAAGTGGTCAAATGTTGGTTGAAGATTTAGTTGAGGGTTTTTACGTTGTCTTTCCCGGGCCGACATTTGAATTTCCCACAAGACTTCAACATATCGAAAATCTAAAGTCAGCTGTTAATATTATCAAGTTTGTTATGGTGAGCTGATGATATCTATTTGTTCATTAAGAATGCTTACATGTCTAACTTTTTGACATTTTGCATAGGATAAGTACATCCAAACAAACAAGATAGTGGAAAATAAAGTAAGTACGCATAATGCGTTTGAGCATATTTTCGGCAACAATAACGATCTTGATATGGATGAACCTGTTCATTGTAAATCGGAATTTATTCATGAACCGTGGTGGACCCCGAAAAGCAAGAAATCATAATACAAAAGTCAATATTTAGTTTGGATTCGGAAAATCAAAAAAATATTAATACAATACGTACGTAATCATGTAATTGTGTATTGGTTTTAAAATGGCTATTCCTAATAAAAATTCGTATATTTCAGGTTTCTTTACTATGCGATTTGGTGTCGTAGGATGCATCGGAAAATATACTTGAGAATTTTTTCTTGGGATTGAGAATGTGCACGTGGTTTCCAGAAAAAATAAAATATATGCTATTATAAATCATAGTCCCAAAACTTTATCAAAATCCCTAGTATCCAGTATCTTATAACAATCAGATCATTTCTTAGTTTATCAGTTCATCTATGTTATATCAATGCATCGGCATCAGTTCTATTCTCCTTTGTTTAAACTCTACTAATTCCAACTTTCATAGTAACTTATCTGCACATAATGACATACTGTAAGTCCGAATAATTCATCCTCCATTCTCAAGAACTCATCTTAACAAACATTGGCTTTATGAATAAATAGGCTGTATATAACGTTTCAATGATATACGAACAGGTTTTCAGAATTACATCGATTTCTGTGTGCCCGCAATCCAGTATATCTACATG